GGGTGACAGAGCGAGACTCAATCTCCAAAAAAAAAAGACAGCCCTTTGTGTTTTAAACAACTAATAATTTGAACTAAAATGGAAGTTTTGAATTTATCTCCTGGAGGCTAAAGAAAAAGAGAAAAAATGATTTACACTGTCTGTCTATCAAGAGAAAACATCCAGCATCTAAACAGGAAGTCATAGCCTTCCCTAAAATCAAACCCAGAGTTCTCAGTACTGTACATCTCACAAGTCGTACACATTCTGCTAAAGTGAAGTGAATCACCCTACCCCTGAGTGCACATACATGTCTTTTTTATGAGCTTTAGGCTATAAAATTCTAAGGTCATACAATATATTTAAATAAATCAAATATTTTCTTAGTTACTCATCATTGAAAAATGACTGGCCAGATTTCTTTTATAAAACATGGATATTTTGGGATGGTCTAGTGTCTATTATATGTACACATGAAATTCACTTTCAAGGCCCTAAAGACTATTTCTATTTATAACAAGACACCTTTTTGGAGAGACTATTGGTGAACCCCTTCTCCACTGAACGTTGGAGACAGACATGCCCCCTTTGTATTCAGATGCTGCTGTGCACAGAGAAAGCAAATATGGTCTTAGGAACATGCAGCAAAGATCAGTAGAAGCCACAGGGCATTTATTAAACCATGGCCAATGAGTCATCTAAGCACTAGGCAGGTCACTAATATTCCACATTTTTTTTTTTTTTTTTTTAATCGGAGTCTTGCTCTGTCACCCAGGCTGGAGTGCAGGGGCACAATCTTGGCTCACTGCAACCTCCATCTCCTGGGTTCAGGCAATTCTTCTACCTCAGTCTCCCAAGTAGCTGGGATTACAGGTGCCTGCCACCATCCTGGCAAATTTTTGTATTTTTAGTAGAGACAGTGTTTCACCATTTTGGTCAGGCTGGTCTTGAACTCCTGACCTCAGGTGGCCCAACTGCCTGGGCCTCCCAAAGTGCTGGGATTACAGGCATGAGCCATCAAACCCAGCCTATTCTACATGTCTTAATGAATAAATTACTTAGGTTTATTAGATTCTCTCTCTTTTTTTATATTTATTTATCGATTTACAGTATGACCTGCTTCCCATCTCAGCTCCAGACTAAAGACTATAACCGAATAGCCAGGTCTCACCAAAGCAGGGTAAACTCTATATTTATCTCATTATTTGAATGAGAACATAATTTTTCTCTTCATGGAATTGCCTTGCAAAATGGTGACTCTTAGTTGTGATGCTGAAACTGTGCTGTATTCTGGAATGGTAATTTCCCTTGACATCAAGGTCACTCTTCTTTCTGGAACTTTGTAGTTTAAAACAGAACAAGTCAGTGGTACTCTGAGTGTAGGGCACTGAAAGGCACCTGAGCACATTCTCATTATCAAGCGTGACAGCTTACCTCCATTTGAAATGGAAAGAAAATGGGCTTTGGAAACCTAGATCTATGTAGGAAATCTCTTGAATCTTAATCCAAGCTAAAAGGTGCATATATGTACTGTTTACTATAGATAATTCCTAGTGTTCAATTGCTACTGGGTAAAAACTCAAGACCACTGGCATTGCTGGGAGACAGATTAACTGTAAATAATAAAGAAAGTGTGGAGTCAAGCCTCTAAGTGAGCAGAAGACTATAATCAATGAAGAGCATTGGCTGGGCACGGTGGCTCACACCTGTAATCCCAGCACTTTGGAAAGCTGAGGTGAGTGGATCACCCGAGGTTAGGAGTTTGAGACAAGCCTGTCCTACATTTTGAAACCCCAACTCTACTGAAAATACAAAATTAGCCAGGTGTGGTGGTGCCTGCTTGTAGTCCCAGCTACTCTGAAGGCTGAGGCAGGAGAACCACTTGAACCTGGAAAGTGGAGGTTGCAATGAGCCAAGATCATGCCACTGTACTCCAGCCTGGGCAACAGAGTAAGACTCAAAGAACAAGAGAGGAGAGGAGAGGAGAGGAGAGGCGGGGCGGGGTGGGGTGGGGCGAGGGGGGGCGGGGGGCGAGGAGAGGGGAGGCAAGGGGAGGGGAGGGGGGAGAGGAGGGGGAAAGGGGGGAGGGGAGGGGAGAAAAGAAGGAGGAAGGAAAGAAGGAAAGAAGGGAGGGAGGGAGGGAAAGAAAAGCATCACTAGAGGGGAAAGAACTTTTGTGGGCACGGAACTCGCAGATATCCACTCTTCCCTGGGAGCTTGCATATGCAGTAAAACCACAGTGGAATCACCCAACTTCTGTATGGGCCTAGCATCATCATGTTTTGAAAGCTAGATAGAGCCGTCCAAACATTAGAGAGCTCAAGTAAAAATTAATGTCCTTAAGTAATGATGATCCTGTTTTGTTGAAATGCCTTCTGTGTGTAGTTTATACTCTTGTGAGTTGTTGCTATCAATTATAATAAGAGATGGGTTTCCCTCATCCTGCCTCACCTATAAATAGGGATATAGAAACAAGGTAAGGGGCTTCATCCCACTGGCTGTTGTCCAATATTTTTTTTATAGTCATTTAACAAATATTTTATAACCTCCTCTTAGTACATTCAGATATTTACTGATCTGGACACTGGGTATACATACAATGTCCCTGTCCTCATTAGGCATATAGGGGAGTAAGCAAATTAATAAATAAAAAGCATAATTACAGGCAAGGCATGGTGGCTCATGCCTGTAATCCCAGCACTTTGGGTGAATCACCTGATGTTAGGAGTTCAAGACTAGCCTGGCCAATATGGCAAAAATCTGTCTCTACTACAAATACAAAAATTATCCAGGCATAGTGGCATGTGCCTGTAGTGCTGGCTACTTGGGAGACTGAGGTATGAGAATCACTTGAGCCTGGGAGCTAGAGGTTGCAGTGAGCTGAGATTGTGCCACTGCACTCCAGCTTGGGTGAAAGAGTAAGACTCTATTTTGAGCAAACAAACAAAAAACAAACATAATTACATATTTGATAAGTGCAGTCAAGCAAGATATATTGTGTAAAATAGGCTATAGCAGCAGGTGACAAATGTTTCCTGGGAAGGGCCACATAGACTGTATGTGGACTGTTGTATCTTTGTTGCCACAACTCCACTCTACTGAAGAAACCTGAAAGCCATAGAGCTAATATACATGAATAGGCATGACTATGTTCTAATAAAAGTTTATTTATTGACACTAAAATTTGAATTTCTTACAATTTTTACATCATTAAATATTACTTATTTTAACCATAGTTTTTGAAAAGGTTAAAAGCATTCCTAACTCATAAGCTATATAAAAACAGAGGATCAGATTTGGCCTACAGATATGCCTTCTATATTAACTCCTGGCTACATGGTTCAGGAAGAAGGAATGCTGTTGACATAGACAGAGGTTGATATGGCCCCTCTGAAGTGGTAACATCTTAGTTGATGAAAGGAGACCAGTTATCGGAAGAGCTGAAAAGAGAGTACCCCAGACTGAGGAAACACAAACGCAAAGATGCTGAAGCAGTTGGAGCTCTTAGAAACTGCATGTTGTATATAAAAATGTATTAAGAAATAAAACAGTTAAGCTGAAAACCTTTAAAAACAGGTCTTAATGGCTGGGCGTGGTGGCTTATGCTGTAATCCCAGCACTTTGAGAGGCCAAGGTTGGCGGATCATGAGGTCAAGAGATCGAGATCATGCTGGCTAACACAGTGAAACCCTGTCTCTACTAAAAATACAAAAATAAGCTGGGCGTGGTGGCATGCACCTGTAGTCCCAGCTACTCAGGAGGCTGAGGCAGGAGAATTGCTTGAGCTTGGGAGGCAGAGGTTGCAGTGAGCCAAGATCGCGCCACTGCACTCCAGCCTGAGTGGTAGAGCGAGACTCCTTCTAAAAAAAAAAAAAAAATTGGTCTTACTGTATTTGTGGGTATTGATCCATGGTCATTAGGTGATAAGTGTTGTAGAAAGGGATGCCATAGTGCATAAATAATCCTTCAATGAAATTTTATAGTCTCTTCCTGTAATTGTCTCCAGCAAACAATAAAAGGCTAATTTTTTCCACCTTGTATATGATTACTTGGCAGAGTAAGAATCATTTAAAATCTTTGTGTCAATTAAGATAAATTGTCTTGTAGAAATGGCAGACATTTTTCCTTGAATTATCTTACTCTATGTCTATACCATTGAGTATGTAGTCATACGCTTGCCAGCCAAATGTCATAATTCATTTGGGCAGGATTTGTATAGTTAAGTTACATGTACAGATGAATAAAATATTCTTATTTCTATATACATTTAAAAGTATATTCATCAGGCTGAGTGCTGTGGTGCATGCCTATAATTCCAGCACTTTGGGAGGCCAAGGTGGGCAGATCTCTGGAATTCAGGAGCTTAAGACCAACATGGGCAACATAGTGAGACCTCATATCTATTTAAAAAAAAATGTTTTCAGTCTGTTCATCAGTGTTTTACTTATATATAAAAGGTATTTATGCTACCACAGTCTTGAAAACTGGCTCTCTGGGTAGTATGATTGGAGATATCCAATAAAAATTAATGATGAATAGCTATGTCCAAATACTAATACTAATAATATAGGGGCTTTTCTGAACCCATACTTCATTTGTGATTTCAAAGCTTGGCATAAGAAAAAAAATGAAATAGAAAAAGATTACTTGCAGAGTTACCTTATGTTGGAGAGAGATGATACTTCTGTCTATATTTTGAATCTGTGACAGAAATCCAAATCTTACCCAGATGCTGGTAAAGAGGAACATTTTCTTCATTTGAGAAATAATACCCACAGAACACACCCATCTGTCTGTTGTAAGAAAATGTCCAAGTCACATGTTTATCAAAAAAAAAACAAAGTATTAGTGAGAGCTAAAATATTCTAAGAAAAAAAATTCAAGGAAATAGTGGGTAATAGTGTTTTAAAATACGTTCCTGGTGAAAATGGTATCTAGAGTGTCTATTACATAAAAACGATCTCATATTATATTATATTTATGATGTTAAAAGTCTTAAAAAGATGACTATGAGATTCGTCTCTGCTCATTGTTAGAGCTTGGAGTTGAGGCTACCGACTGGCTGATGAACTCGCAAGTGTAGGTGGTGTGCCTGATGAGAGGCAAGTTTTTCGCTAACACCGTGAGGGTTCTCTGGCCCGATGAGTGGAGTTTGATAGTAATTCTTGCTACAGTATAACGTTACTGCAGACAGCTTTGTGGAGAGATGAAAACATTTGGAAAACAGTGTGTTTTCTTCCGCCTTTGTCCATGTTTCTTGTTCAGGCCTGCCAGGCACTTGGCCTTTCTATTTTCACACCAACTTGATGGGTTCTACTATAAGATTCTAAAAAGGTGGATTATGTGATTCAATTTTTTTTAAATAAAAAAAAATAAAATAAGTTAAAAAAAAAAGATTAGTCTCAGATGTGAAACAGAAAAATGTTGAATGATATCATAAAACACTTGGTGTCTATTTCATATTTTTACCAGGTGAAGAAACATATCTTAGTTTGCATAGAAACTTTTACCTTTGTTACCTTGCATCAACGAATAGTTTAAGGACTTACAATTTGTAGGATTTTAAGCATTTTAGATTTTATGATGGGTTATGATAATCTTTGGAAATAACTTCAATTAAATTCAATAATCACTTATCCAATGCCCTATAGGGTCCTAAATGTGAAATAAAAATGAAATATTTCTCCAAGATTTCATATTCATCAGAAAAAACAATTTCAAAGAACTCTGATTTGAAGCAGGGTAATTAAAAGCTATAATAGAGAAAATGCTAAGGGAAGAGAGGAGGAAAATGGTTAATTTTAACGGAAGAAATCTAGGATGTTTCATAGATGAGCTGGCATTTGAGCTGAGCCTGCAACAAATGAAAATGCAAGAAAATGCAAAGGGAAGCACTTTAATACATGGGAAAATATTTCATATGTTTTTGAGCAGGAAGTAGTCTGGTCAGTTCTAGTTGCTTTTGTTTTTCACATTAAAAATTGTAAAATACAATAAATTTATAGAAAAGTATTTACATTGTAAATGTTCAACTTCAGTTTTTTTCTGAAACAAATATATGTATGATTCCCTTCCTCCCAAGTTTAAAAAAGGAAGAAAGAAAAGAAAAGCATTAACAGAACTCCAGAAGTCAGTCTTCAAATTAGGGCTGGCTTCAAGAGTGTGGCAACTTGAGCAATTGCACGGAGCCTGGTACTAAGATGGGTGCTCTGCTTGGTTTAATGTTCCACTGTTGCCATCTTGAAATTAATAATCATTTTTGAACAGGGGATCCAACATTTTTATTTGGCATTGGACCCCACAAATTATGTAGCCTTTCCTGTCCCCAACCCTCATTCTTTAACATATCTAAATGCACAATTCCTCCTATAGTGCTAATCATTATTATTTGATTTCTTTAATCGTTTACTTTCTAATTATATGTCTGAACAAAATAGTTTAATTTTGCCTTTTACGAATGTTATAAACATTCTGTTAATAACATTCTTATAACAGTCTTCTGTTTTGTCTGGCTTTTTTCACTCAACATTATGTCTTTAAGAGTTATCCATATTATGATTCATTCATTTTCCCAGTTATGTTTTCAATGAGCTGTATCTACTAGAATTACATAGGATTGATTGGTACACGGGGGAGAGCAAGACTGGAGGCAAAGAGACCAGTTAGGAGGTGGGGCTAATTGGCAATAACAACGGTGAGGGCCTGGGCCCATAAGTAATAGCACAGGACATCTCTTCTCTCTAGAAATCAGTATTTCAAAACCCTCAGACTTTTAGAACTACTGCAGATGCAGAACAAACTTAAAAATCTAAATCAACAGCAACAACAATGCAAACGCTCTGCCTTGGGGCAAAGAAGTAGGCCCTGAGTATCCAGCAACAAAAACGATAGTGAAGACAGTTCAATGAACTGAAAATTATTCCCAGCATGCTACGTTGACCAAGAAAAAAAGGAATGTTTTAACTGAATATATAATTGGATAGAATACACACACATAAATGTGTTTATGTATATGTGTGTATATATACATTTACACAGACATATGTGTATATATATACTTATATATACACTCCTTTTTTGGCATGAAAGCATTGAGGTATAGAAGTAGCATAAGATAAGAAAGTAATTTCTAAAAAGTATAAAGAAAAATAGTAGAGATGATCTGAGGCTGTGTAGCAAAGTTGGCGGCAGTTACAGTCATGGAGTCTGTGACTCGAAATGGATGGGACAGTGGAAAGGGGCAAAGGGCTAGAGACAAAGCAAAATAAGACTGGACAACTCTGCAGAGTGTGTGGCAGACAATCATCTTCACCGCCTCCTCCCCATATCAGTGATTCAGTAATGGAGGTGCATTCTCCTTGTGGGACATATTAAAATCATCATCGAGACCTTCTAGTGGAAGACTGGTCCTATTTACATTAATAGGTCAATATTTTTTTTTCCTTTTTTGTTTTTTTAAATTTCTACCCAAATGAGAATGAAATTAGGTCAATATTTTATTTAGTTGGTAGCCCACTAAGACACATCAGATCTACCATTCAACATTCTTGGAAAGACATTCATTATTAAATACAAGTGACCTTAAATGACAAAGCCATCCTCACAGCAGTAGGGTGGGAAGGCAATGTCACAGAGCCAGCTGTATATAATGACATGTATTCTACACTAGTTCCAGCAAAAAGCAATGAGCAAAGACATTTTTTAAAATGATGCTAATCTTAACAACAAAAAAAAGGAGTTTAAAAACAGTAAAGTAAACCTGTGAAAATGAATGTGAACAATTCATATCTGTCCAAGTTCTTTGTCACATGGCCCTCTCACAAAGTTTCCTGGACATCTGGAAGAAATGGAAGCATGATTTCCCCTAGAGTGAGAAATTTGGCAAGAGAGACAGAGCCCAGGACAAAAACTGTTGTCTTTTATGGACTAATCTTAAAAGGCCATAAAAGAGAGACCAACCTTATACACCATGGGTAAAGGCTATTCAAGGGTATGAATGCCAGTAAGTGGTAAGATTGGTAGGGGCCATCTTGAAGACTGGCTACCATAGAAATTAAGTTGTCCAAAATTTTACATCTACAAAGTCAAATTTTAAAAGTAAGCCTGTTACACTAAAAATCTAGTGCTCTTTTTACTATAAATTGTACATCAGGACTCAAAAAATGTAAAAAAAAAAAAAAAAAAAAGTTATGTTTTTGCAGATTTCTGTGTAAGTCAAAGTTGGCAGCTGGGTATGGTGGCTCACACCTATAATCACAGCACTTTGGGATGCCAAAGTGGGAGGATGGCTTGAGTTCAGGAGTGCAAGACCAGCCTGAGCAAAAAGACCTCGTCTCCATAACAAATAAAAAAATTAGCTGGGCATGGTGGTGTGTGCCTGTAATTCCAGCTACTTAGGAGGCTAAGGTGGGAGGATCACTTGAGCCTGGGAGCTTGAGGCTGCAGTGAGCTGTGTGATCACAACACTGCACTCTAGCCTGGGTGACAGATGGAGTCCCTGTTTCAAAAAGCATAAAATACTTTTAAAAAGTTGAGTTTGTGAAAACCATACAACCAAACTAGAAAACAAATAAAGCCTTTTAAATATTTTTTAACGAAAGATAAAACATTATACCTTTTGGCCAATACTTATTGCATGGGCATGAAAAAATGATGTGCAAATTCAATAGAAAGAAAAATACTGAGTTTCTGAAGAGTGGTTTTGTGTTTAGGGTAGACACTATAGGCTGGCTTACCCAACACCATTCTCCATTTATTTCTGCTTTGTCTCCCACCTCTGTAGAAGGTGGAAACGTTAAATACTAACTTTTCTAGGCTCCCTTACAGATAGAAGGGCTTCGATGCAGTACCAGCTAAGAAAATATAACTGAAAGTCTCCTGAAGTTTGTGCTTGTGCATTCTTCATTCCACTTTCCCAGGCCACCTTTTTCCTGCCACAAAAACAGACTATGTGTCTGGGACAGCAATTCTTTTCACTGAGCTATTGGACCAAGGCCAATAGTCCAGAAGTCCTCTTTCAGACTTTTCTTTTTGAGACAGAGTCTAGCACTGTCGCCTGGGCTGAAGTGCAGTGGTGCGATCTTTGCTCACTGCAACCTCTGCCTCCCCAATTCAAATGATTCTCCTGCTTCAGCCTCCAGAGTAGCTGGGATTACAGGTGCCTGCCACCACGCACAGCTAATTTTTTTGTATTTTTAGTAGAGACAGGGTTTCACTATGTTGGCCAGGTTGGTCTCGAATGCCTGACCTCATAATTCACTCACCTTAGCCTCCCAAAGTGCTCTGATTACAGGCGTGAGCCACTGCGCCCAGGTCTAATTTTTTTTTTATTTTTATTTATTTATTTATTTTTTTTTTGAGACTGAGTTTTGCTCTTGTTACCCAGGCTGGAGTGCAATGGTGTGATCTTGGCTCACTGCAACCTCTGCTTTCTGGGTTCAAGTGATTTTCATGCCTCAGCCTCCCAAGTAGCTGGGATTACAGGCACATGCCACCATGCCTGGCTCATTTATTTATTTATTTATTTGTATTTTTAGTAGAGACAGGGTTTCACCATGTTGGCCAGGCTGGTCTCCAACTCCTGACCTCAAATGATCTGCCCTCCTCGGCCTCCCAAAGTGCTGGGATTACAGGCATGAGCCACCACGCCCAGCCAGTCTAATATAACTTAAAGCTTTATATATTCAATAAAATTTTATTTGGGCCAGACATGGTAGCCCATGCCTGTAATCCCAGCACTTTGGGAGTCCAAGGCAGGAGGATTGCTTGAAGCCAGGAGTTCGAGACCAGCATGGGCAACATGACAAGACCCCATCTAAAAAAAAAAGTTTATTTCAATTAAACAGAATAAGAATAGGTGGGCCGGGCGCGGTGGCTCATGCCTGTAATCCCAGCACTTCAGGAGGCCAAGGTGGGAGGATCATGAGGTCAAGAGATCAAGGCCATCCTGGCCAACATAGTGAAACCACGTCTCTACTAAAATACAAAAATTAGCTGGGTGTGGTGGCACATGCCTATAGTCCCAGCTACTTGGGAGGCTGAGACAGGAGAATTGCTTGAAGCGGGGGGAGGCAGAGGTTGCAGTGAGCTGAGATCAGCCACCGCACTCCAGCCTGGCACCTGGTGAAAGAACGAGACTTTGTCTCAAAAAAAAAAAAAAAAAAAGAATAGGCTGAC